ATGGCATGCCCTGAGAGGCACCCCCATCCCTCCCCGACACTCCCACCAACACTGGCAGGGCATGCCACTGTATATAAACAGAGAACAAACCCCACTCCCTTCTAGCACTGAAGATGTTGCCTAGTTGGGTAACGAAACATCTGCAAGAAAACAACCAAGCTCAGGGAACCCCAGGGACTCCACCATTATTCCATGTCTTGAACTCCAGGCCATGGAATTTCTGTTGTGTGACCCTTGACTGGGGTCATTACAGTGACAGGTTTCCTGAAACTGAAGACTTTGCTAGCTCAGTTCTTAGTGTCCTGCTCAAAACTCACAGGAAAGGGAAAGCTTGTAAAAAGATGCATGTTAGGTAAAACATGATATTTAAAAATGTGTAATATGAGAAATGTACATTAAATAGAGGGAGGCAAAATGTTGGAATGTCCCAATCCAATCTTGGAAGAGCTACTTCAGTTTTCAGTGGGATTTTCCCAGTTGTACTGGGAATGGTCCTCCCTTGAAGACAGGCCAAAGCTGGAATGCTTTACATTTTTCCCACTTCTAACATCAAATTGCACGCACTTTTTCAGGGAAGTTGAAATAGTTCTCAAGCTAGTATGGAAATATTATATCTACCCTTAGCTTAGAAAGCCAACTTGTGATGAGAGAAAACACAGCTTCTAGTCCCTAGTTATAAAATTCAAAAAGTCATCTTAAGCCAGCCCATATAACGCTCAGCCTTCTGCCTCTCAAGTACATATGTCACACTGAAGGAACTGTTCAATTTTATCATTATTTATAACATTTATATACCATGTCCTAAAGGTATGGTATATATTAAATTAGTGTAAGTAATTAAATAAATAACCTTCCCATTGTATGGCTATTTATTTAATTACACTGTACACCTTGGAGACGCTTGGAGGAAGGGTGGGTTAAACATGGAAGAATGAATGAATAGACAAATAAAGAAATGTAGGAGATTTAGGCTTCTCCCATTTATGCAGTAGGCAACTCCTGTTGGAAATCTCAACATTGATCCCATTTCCCTAACCCTTCCACAATCAAAAGAAAACCTAAGATGCTCACTGAAATATTTTCCATTACCGCATTTGAGAGAGAGAGAGAGAGAAAGAAGAGAAGAGAAGAGAAGAGAAGAGAAGAGAAGAGAAGAGAAGAGAAGAG